TCTTTCCCGTATAAAAACTTGCCTCTCCGTTTTTCCCTTCTCACACAGAATGAGTCCCAATGACAAATTGAAGGGCTGAATATTTTGGGGTTCACCAAGAATGAAGGTCGTCATAATTTCCCACCACTGAGAAAGAGTTTTTGATCATCTCCACAGGCCAAACAGCTCCTGTGGCCTGGAGGGAACAGGCAGTATCCCTGCGACACTGTGTATGCAAAAGGTATTGAGGACAATTTAAGATTTCTGTTTATTGCTTTGGCTGTTTGAGTTATCCATGACTGAGGTCCTGGCACTAAGAAATCTCAGCTTCTTCAAGGGAGAAAACGAATGTTACGGCCAATCATTCTTTCTAAAAGTTCTTTCTCCTGTTACATAAATTTTATGTTTCTATAAATAAATGCATTTAAATTATAAAATACATCTCATATTTATATAAAGCATTTCACTGCATATCAGTCCATAGCACAAATCACTTTGTTTTGTGCATGGCATATGTAGCTTGAATATGTGTAGCTTCTACTTGAGCAAGCATTCAGGAACATTTTTGTGGCTAATACCTGCCAAATTGGCTAACAAGCCTCACAACCTCCCTTTGCACAAAGCTCTTTAGGCAAGCTCTGTCCCAGAGGTGTGCAAGTTACTGCTCCAATGAGCTTGTGTAAATTATAGTGTTAATAATTATGCTCAAATTCCAGATTAGCTACTTGCTTTTTCCTTAGCCAGTGCCCTCTGGCACTTACACCAGTCACTCCCATGCCCTGCTGAGATCCATCCCCCTGGGTTTGATAAGAAGTTCAGAATTTTCACGATAGTAAATAAATCCCTGACCCGCATGATCTCAGCTGCCCGTTGCACTCGTGGCTTGCACTTACGACGTCGATGAGCTGGGCGATGGACAAGCCGAAGCGGACGAGGACCACATCCGAGATGTTGGCCACTGGGCGGGACCACTTGTTATACCCGGAGAAGAGCTTCTTCAGGAGCCGCTCCTCGGCGTGGGCTCGGGTCTCCATGTGGCCGCGGCCTGGGGGCAGGCGGGGTACGGCAGTGAGACGCGCACGGCAGTGCCACCCTGGTGACATCCCTCCTCTGCCCTGCCCTGGGCATCGCCAGGTGTTTTCACTGCCTTCACCCACCATGGCTAATCCCCAGCTATAGCACTGCTGTTGCAGGAGGGGTGATTACTACAACCACTGTAAAAACACAACATGGACCATCCTCCTCCAAAAGCATTTAAAATTTTTGGTGGCTTTGTGGCATGGCAAGTTGCTAGCTTTGAAGTCTGCAGCTAGGAAAGAGAGATGCTCACTTTGCTGTCATACAGGCACAAATTGGGGAAGCAAAGTAACCTGCTAGGGGTGCTAGAAAGGGCAAGACAAGAAGGAAAAAGAAGCCTTTCTCAGTCAAAACCTGTTAGGAGACAGGGTTCTCGGATCAGATTTACACATGGAAACTGAGATCAAACATACTAGGAAAAAAAAAACCAGACAAAAATTCAGCCCGCCAAACAAAGCGCCATAGTTGATCTTTCACAAATTGATTACCTCCTCCTGGTTACCTTTTCGCCTGCCCTGAGTTATACAAAGGGATGCATTCGCTGAGCCCTGGCTGCCCTTTCTCTCCCGCCAGGGCTGTAGCTGGGGGACACATTAACACACTTGATAACAGGAGGAAAAGCCGAGCAGGGAGGCTGAGCCCCTGCATGTGTTCAGCCTCCCCTTCCCCATCACACCTTTAACCATTTCCCCTGCGAATTAGTTAATAAGCAGAAAATAAAAGCAAAAACCAGTGCTTTGTAGGGGCTGGTATTTCGGGGAGCTACAGTGAAGGGGCAGGAGGATGCGTGAGTGGGGAAAAACCTTCCTGCAAACCACTGGGCTTCATAGCATGCCTTTGGGAGGGCTCGGGGAGAAAAGAGCTAAAGAGAAGAGCAGGAGTAAAACAGCCTCCTCAAACTTACCAGGGAAGATGCTGGCACACAGGAGAAGGAGGAGGCTTCTGTGAGACACTCGAAATCCCATGGTGGAGCCGAGCTCAGTCTCTAGAGCGCAGAGCCTCCCAGCAGGGCAACTTTTCCTATCTGAGTCTCCGGCTCCTCCACCTTTATTCCCCTAAACTGCTCTTTCTCTCTCTTTCACCTGCCTCTGGCAGGGGAGAATAGCCGATTCCCCCCTCCCCTTCTCTTCTGACCGCTTCCCGACTCTTCCCCCTGGAAGGATGCTCTTCGCTGGGACACGGACGCGCACAAGTACCTGCTGGAGATGTGCAGGGGCTGCAGCAAGCCCTTGCAGCCAGGCACAAAGTGCACAGCCCGCGCCGGCTCTCCTGCTCGCTCCTCTCCCTCTCTGGAGGGGGGAGGCTTAGCTGGCTTGTTGCTGCTGCCGCTTTCACCCTCCCCCCAGCCCTCTGGGCAGCCTTTGCTGCTAGTGGTCCACCACTGCCAACGCCAGTCCTTGGAGGAGCAGGCAGCCAGCGAGCGGAGTATGTTTGTATATTTAATGTATTTAGACCTGCCCACCTCCTGCTTAGGCGAAGGAGGAGGAGAGAGGCTGTGCGCTCCAGCAAACAGGCTGCCAGGGAGGAAAACTTTTAGCATGAGAAAGAAGGGGGAGAGCTGGACCCAGCAGGCCGCCAGAAGTGGTGTAATTTGGGCCACCTGTGCTCTTTATAGCACCTGAACGCCAAGCAGCTCTGCAGTCAATCGTAGCTGCTCATCAGCTGCTTTCCAAAATCAGTCCTGCAGACTAACAGGGTAGTTAGCGTGCTCGCTGTCCGGGGACACGTCTGGCCCGGGCACATATCTTTGCTACGGACACTCACCCGTGAGAACAGGCCTCCACTGTGCTTGGTGCTGTGCAAATATGCAATAAAAACACACAGCCTCTGCCCCAGGCAATCTGCAAACTGAAGGTGCGGTTGAGGAAGGAGCTCACTTGAATATAGCTATTACCACAAATAACCTTGTTGAAGTCACGAAGACTATGGAGGAAAGCGTTGCAAGGGAAAAAGCACCCCAGCCCTCCATCTCACCTCCCTGACTCTGTGCGTGGGAGAGCAGAGCCCTCTCCATTCCGTTTTAAAACGAGCTTTGATATTAACACAATTATTTCTACACGGATAGCAAGTGGATTTCATTTTCAAGGAGGGGTAATTTTGCCAGCTGCAGAATTAATCAAAGTCTGTTCTCATAATACTAGCTACATATTTTATGTTTAATAATTTCCCTGCTCCCACAGAATCTCGAATATCTTCCACTAGATTAGATTGCTGGCTGCAAATGGGGAGGATTAAAGCAACAAGAAATTAGGTCTGTAGTGAGATTACGGCTAAAATCAGTGTAGTACCAAACTCGTCGCGTTGTGTCTCGTCTCATGTCTTCCTTAGCAGTTGTCAGCCTTTTTGCATTGCCCTCTTTGTTTTATTGGGAGTACAAATTTCTGTGTGATTTACTTTTGGTGGCAAGAGTTACGGGCTGAACACCTCTCATTTGCACCCATCCTTACAGCATCTGAGCACCTGTGATGCGCTATAAAAGTCTCTAGGGCTGCTATATTGCCATTAGTGTGGTGTGCCACTGCACCAAGATCACCGTGCGTCTGTAAAATGGGATTTGTAAAGACCACTTTTCGGGGGTTGGTACTCTGCACAGGTCACGCATTGGACAGCCAGACCCAAAGGAACCAAAATCAGGTAGTCCCTTTGGGAAATCTTGGCCTTAAATTACACAGGTATCCTTGACTACAGAGTGATTCAAATCCCACGAACATACTCCATCCATCTTCACCTTGCATCGTTTTCTGTGCTGGTGAGCAAGGAAGCTGGCTGGTAAATACTACCTTTAGATTAACCCTATAAATAACTTTGATTAAAAATGGATTTCCTTCTTTTGGAAATTAATCATAAATCATCATCTCCCATAAGTGAAAGGTTTATCCCTCACCTCCCTGGCCCTATTTTTATATGATATGGGGGAACGAGCATCTTTTACAGAGGTTTCTGTGCCTTAGGTGACCTTGTTAAATTTCGCTGCTGGTTTCTTTCGGCATCATTGGGCCATAACAAAATTTCCTTCGGTTCCTGGATGTGTTTGGAAGGCAATGTTTTCTACTGCTACTTGTGCTACGGACTCAGCCTGACTGGGACAAAAGATGCAATTTAAGGGTTTTAATGAATTTTTATTGTGGGAGAAAGCTGCAATTCCAGCCTGATCCTCAGGCACCCAGCTCTGAGCCTCATCGTTATTATTATCTTCCTTTGTTTGGAAAAGATGGGGATGATATGAGTAATCCAGATGTTCAAAAAATTCAGTCTGAACAACTCAGCTATTGAAGATTGAGCTAAACATAACAATGGCAGTACCCACCCCCCCAGGGTTTTCAATGAAAGCTTAGACTTGGCCTTGGAATATCGAAATATGGAAAAAATCCCTTATCCGCAGAGGCACAGTGCCAGCCGTGAACTGCACGGCTGAGGAACCTGAGGCCTGGACGCTTTCTTTGAATTCACCTTCTCTCTCTCTTCGTGGTCTTGGGTGCCACTGCCAGCTCTCCAGAGGAAGGCCTCGGCCCATGGTTGTTTTGCAAAATGTCATCTGCAAGTTTGGCTGTACAGAAATAGGATATAATAGCAACAATAATAATGATGATGTCTCCTCATAGTTTCTATCTATTTGGGCTTCATATAGGAGACGAAGCCAGTTAATGGGAAGTCTGGGAAATACTGTGCATTCAAAGCAGTTTTTCCTGCAGATCTGTTTTGTTTTTTTTCCTTGTCTCCGTTCCGGTGGTAAAGCAGATTTCTCTCTCTTGTTGCTGACGGCTTCGTCTTCAACAGAGACTTCAGCAGAAACAGCAGGAGGCAAACCAAGAGGAAAGGGGAGAGATCTCCTTCCAGTGAAATGCGCATTGCAATGAGCAGAGTGGAGGGATGTGCGAGGCCATTTCTGAAAAGCCCGGGCTGGATCTGCCTCCAGGGAAATCCTCGTGGTACTGCTGGCCTCCCAAGAGTGACTGATTTATTCAGATTTATTTCAGATTTTCTGTGGAGTGTCAGAAGATGTTGAAAGACACTTTGAACTGAATCAAACACGTTCACTGCACAGGAGGCTTCTGGCCATGGGGGGAAGCTGACACACCTGCCTGGGAGTAAAAATGATGGAGAAAAAGCAGGCTTAGGTGATGCTTATTTCCAAAGCAGTAGATGTGGTTATGGAGCCTCTCCCAGGTGTTTTAATAACAAGATATTATGTCTCTCTCCAGCAGAAGCTGAAGCACCAGGCTGGAGCTCGTGGTACAGCCCTGACCCACATGGACACGGCTCATTTTCACTTTCTGTTTTTCCGTGAAAAAAAGCAGTGACTTCAGAGAAAGCATCCCACATCTGAGCTGAGAAAGCTCATGTGGCAGGTGGCTCAGGGCTGTGAAAAACTCAGGTAAGTGGGGGATTTCAAAGCCTGCAGAGCCTTCCTTGTGCCGTTCACTACCAGCCACGGGTCCAGAGAAGATCACTCCACAGGTCCTGTGAAGGCTGCAGAGCTTTGTGGGTGTGGGGAGATGGGAGCTACATGGAGGGAGTCCAAACCAGGAGATTTGACTCTACCCTAAATGAACATAATCTTTGGGATGCTCTGAGTGCACCAAAATCCTGGCCCATGGCAGCCCCCACAGCTCCAGCCATGACGAGACTCTCCGTGGGACATGGCGGATAACACACTCGCTTCACAGCAGGGCACATTCACTAACGCAACCTCTCTCCCTCCTCTCTGTGAGCTGATTAGGATTTGAATCCAAGCGCAAGAGCTCTATCTAATGCATTAAGCTATTGTGTTGCCTTGAAATCCTCATGCATTACTGAGCTGGGAGTTAAGGGAGCTCAGCACCTTGCAGGATTAGCTCCATAATAAAGCTCTGGGGAACCTCAAATCGTATTTACCTCTAGGTAAATACCTCTGCCGTTGGAGAGAAGGGGGAATTCTCTCATCACCTTGCCATTGCTTTATCTCCTGGCTGGTTCCCACCTCTCTGCTCCACAGCTGTATGATGTGGTGGTGAACTTTCTCTCTGGTCACTGCTGTTTGGTGACAACAAGATGCAATAATGCAGATACTTCTTTTACTCTGTATTTTCTCCATTTCTTGTTTCTCACCCAGTCAATCAGACATGTCCTGTGGATATCTGAATAAGACTCATTATTGTTAAATGCACAAGGGAATTTGTAATTCTGGCTATGCTAAAAGCAAACTGTAATGGGTAAACAGCAGAAGACTGGTGAGGAGATAGGCGCGTGCTGACTGATCAATTATTCCAGCTGCCGAAACACTTGGTGTGCAGAACCCATGAGAAACAGCAGGTCGCAGTCCTTAAACTTGTGCCACATAGGCCTCAATCGGGATTTGAATACACCTGAAGAATTATTCCTTCTCTCATTATCCGTATACCTAACAAATTATGGTTTCCCTTGTTATCTGTATACCTAACGAATTATGGCTTCCTCTGTAGCACATGAGCAGTACCCCACGCTGTAGACTATTAATTCACCTTAAACCTATGCCCCCCTGAACCTCGCCATGGGCTGATGCTCTGCGGTGCCTGGGACAGCCCAGTCACTTCCCTTCAAGGTTCCTGGGGTTTCCCTTGCGGTTTGGGGATTTGAAGGTAATAAACATCTAATAACTTCACTCCAGAGCGGTGTCTCCTACCTCTGCGCATTCCAAGTGTCAGTTAGTGCCGTCAACACAAACAAAAGGCGCCAACCACTGAAAATGGAAGGGCAGCAAAGCAGCAAGTCATGGCCTCATTACAGCAGCCAGCCCTACAACTATTAGAGACTTAACGTTACAAATCAGATGAACCTCAATATCTTATTTGTAAAGGCAAGACATTCTTGTAAAGAGCACAGAAAGAGCAATGATACAGTTTTAGCTTCTCTTGAGATCCAAGAAGATAGATAGATTTTAATTTAGAGAACAGAAGCATGTCTCTCCAGACAAGTTTGTTCTCCAAGGATAGCTTTGGTTTCACTGCTTAGCTTTGTCGATCTAAATTAGGCTCTTGTCCTTCCTCACCAAAGGGCAAATGCTGCCCAGTTTATTCACTAAAAAATTCTGGAGTTGACTGCTTGACAAATCTTTCCTCTTTTCTCCCCTATGATCAATGCTAGCTGCAGCTCACATCTTCCCAACCAGCGCAAACCTGTCAGAGAGCCTCACTGCTATGAACAAGGCAGGACTGTAGTGCCACTGCAGCTCAGATCTACCAGCAGGGGCTCAGCGATGCTCTCACCGTCCCTCCAGCCCAGAGAGCAGGAACTGGGAACTTCTCCAGCCACCCTGAAGGGGAATGAGTGGAGGTCCTGAGGTGCAACTCTCATTTACAGCTTTCGATTTTGGTGCATAGACAACATTTAAAACCTTGTCAGTGTCAGGCATCGGTGCCCAGAGCAGAGGGAGTTTTAGCCAGGGGTGGAGAGGA